GGGTTTAACTCACTTAACCCCCCGCAATATTGGTGACCTTCGAACGTGATATGAACACGTAACTTCTGATGTGGCCTGGTGTCCCTGCGTATTTGGTAATCTGCAGTCGTGATTTCTGATGTAATTTATCTGAGTCATTTTCAAACCTCCCTCGCCTTCAATTGAGTTTTTCCTGTGTTATCTGATGTGACCGCGATATGGAGACTTCCTGCATCGACATCCTGTCGTGAAGCCAGGTCGAGATCTTCAACCGCTCACAGCCCATTCAGTCCAGGCCATGGTTCCTTCCCAATCCAACAGAGATGTCCCTTTATGAGTGCCAGCACCCAGCTCTCCTTCCCAATCTCTGAACTTCCTTCTACTGCAAACGATACCTCTTGGTTCAACGCATACTGACACGGCATCCTGATTTGCTGTTGACGTTTAACCGAACCACCGGCTTTCTCCAACCGTCCCTACAACCTGGCTCATTTATGGCAATCACAGCCGCGCACGCTGTTTGCAACTCTACATGGGTACGTAACTCCTCCCCCATATTTAACTATTCTTCCTCCATTCGACTTATTTCATCAATCGAATTTCGGTCTCGAAAGGGAGCACTTGTGGCGGTGCTGCAGCGATACTGCATCTGCAGCCTGTGGACGAAAAATGGATTCTCAATACGTCGATAACATTTGCGTGCTCTCCGACAGCTACAGAGTCAACGCACAGGGCGACTAGATTCCAATCTTTCACACACCCAATTTAACCCTTCCTTTAATGCCTAATAGAAAAATATAGACCTTTAACACTAAGGCTGAAACATGTGACAAATCCCAGACAGCTGCACACAAAGTCTACAAGACCTCAGTTCTGCAAATCAATATTCCATTATGAGTTCCAAAACTTAGCTGACAGAGTGCAATTACAAATCGAACAAGACTGCGTCGAATTCATTGCTATATAAGGCCCACAGATCGACCAATATCCAACAAACCCAATACAGCCATGAAATTCCTCATCCTCTGCGCTCTCGTCGCCGTTGCCTCGGCCTCCTACTACCCAGACCATCATTACGATGGCTACCACGGCCATGGCCACGACCAGGGCCACTTCTCCGGCAAGGCCCACATCAAGGGCGACATTTACTTCGATGGCTGCTACGAGGAGACCTGCCACAAGGGTGACTACTACGGAT